CTTTTCAGCCGGCTTTCTAGTAGTCGAGTCACATCTCGAGACAACGCTCGGAAGCCATCACCACCATTCACTGGCTCCCGTGAGCCGCATGCTAAAGAGTCACAGGCCCTTCACCCAGCACCAGAGCAGAGGCAGGGACATCCAAGGTCAGTTCCAGGCACCGGCAGGGGACCAGTCCCTCTGCATAACCCCCCTTCTCTGAAACAGTGTCATTCCCTTTGAATGTCACCACACATTTGCAAAGATGTCCCAATGAAACGCTGGGGAGGTTGAGATTTACTTCAAAATCTCTGGGGGGAAACAAGACTGACCAGAACTTGAAAACTTGGGAAGCCCAGGGACGGGTACATGGGCATCTGTTACGCTTTTCCCACCTGTCTGTATGTTAGAAATATTCCATCATATCAATAAAAAGCTAGGTTGAATCCAGGGACAGGGCTGAACTGCCCTCCCTTCATAGTTCCACCAAGCTGGGGAATAATTAGAATAATTAGGAAACAGAAGACAATCTTAATTTTATAAAACGCTCCAGAAGCAGCATCTCAGGGGTACACCTGCGAGCAGACAGCGGCAGTGACAGCAGCCGAGGTGTCCACACAGGTTGGGGCCAAACACAACCCCATTTTCTGAAAGACACAACTCCTGCTGCAGCCAAAGAGACTCCGCTGGGTCATCCCCAGGCTCCGTGTCCTTTAGAGAGGCAGAGTGGAGCCATCAGAGAAGAAGGATGAGCCTCGACAGACGGGACCCGCACCTGGCAAGGGGAGGCTTCCCCGCAGAGGGGCACTTAGGAATCCAGAAGTCACTGCCAGCTTCCTCGCACGGATCAGCTCTCCATTCCCACTGAAGAGAGGCTCTTAAAGCTATGGAGTGTCTTTGATGTGGAGGCAGATGGAAAGAAATGTGTTAGAGCAAAGTGAGTGTCTCCCATGAGGCATCACGACAGCTGACAAACAGAGACCTGCCCGGGGGCTGCCACTGAGGAGCCCGGAGGAGCCGTGTGGCGATGCCCTTGATCACATGCCCATGAGAACGTTTGCTAAGGGCTGGCACAGTTGGTGGCTTGTGCAGCTAAATCTGCTCACATGAAATTCTAAAAATCTAGACATGTGGGGAGTTCATTTGACTGGTTCCACTGGGAACAGGAAACAGGACACAGACAACTATATTTTTTACAAATTAACAAAAAATGGAACAGAGCATGAAAATCACAGCCGTCGTGTCTCACCAGAAAGCAGTTTGGCTTTAAATATTTATACCAAAGGTGGCAAAGAATGTTTTGCAAAAGTATGACATGTTTGTGAGAACAGACCAAGCGGAAGGTTTCCACTGAGAGGTCTTTCCTGACACGGAGATCAGACGCCCTGGGCTGCCTGGAGGAAGCAGGGAGCCCGCAGGTGAGAAGACAGGGCTGTCCTCATGATCCCGACCCAGAAAGGGGCCTAGAGCTCCAAGCCTGCAGGGGGCCACTCCCGTCGGCAGTGCCCTGAACCACCTCCGAGTGGCCAGTGGGCGTCGGCAGGTACACTGGGCTCTCGAGTGCGACTCTGGGGCAGCTTGTGAGACATGAGGCATCAGGCTAATTTGGGCTCATTTAGCCCACGATAATTTTGAATTTACATATGTCATACAATCTCACTTACTATGTTGGTGGGTGCACTTGGAGTGAAGATCAAACTCCTAACTTTGTACTTAAAAAGATACGACTTATTCCACAGTATTATGTATTCTGCTAACTCCTTATTAAGCAAAGCAATTGCTTAGTAAAAAACCATAAATGCTTAATAAAAGCTATAAATGTTTATTTCCACGCTGCTTCCAAAGCAGGCTTTGAGGCCGTCTATGAAAATGACTTGTAGACCAAAAGTGAGAACAGAAATGGGCACTGGAAAGAGGGAGAGGAAGGCCCCGCCGGACACCTGGCTGACGTCATCACCAGAAATAAACAGGAACTTTCCCTACAAGTCTTCCACTGGCTAAAGAAATGGAGGAAGTTTCCACAGAAGAAAACACTTCCTTGACATATATCCTGTAAAGAATTTCCATTTTTAGTATCTTTCATGGAACCTCTTATGTCTCAGGTTCTTATTCAAAGACAGCTAAATGGTATGTTGAACAGATACGTCCTCAGGGAGGTCTTCCCTCTCAGCTCTGAGTCAAGAAGGATCAATCCATTGACAACTGTTACTTACTGACAACCGTGAACTCAGTGTAGGCACTGCTGCTGGTGGTGCTGGTGGTGCTGGTGATGGTGGTGGTGGTGGTGGTAGTAGTGGTGGTGATGGTGGTGATGGTGATGGTGGTGGTGGTGATGGTGGTGGTGGTGGTGGTGGTGATGGTGATGGTGGTGGTGGTG